TGTATTTTCTTCTGTTTTTAGTGCATTTTGTTTTGTTTTTCGTGTATTTTGTTTGGAAGTCGGTTTTGTTTTTTTATTAAAAAGTTTATTTTAGCAGAATTAACAAGAAGTAATAATAAATATTGAATGTTGTTGGAGGAAAAAAAAACAAGAAGAATATTTTTATTTCTCAGTCAGTAAACATGTCATCGTAAGGAATAGTTGCAAGAAATCTATTTACGTATGTAAATAGTGGTCCAAAAACTGCTGCACGGTACGCGTCTCTTGTCAACACATGAAGTTCCTTGAATTTCTCGTGATCGAAACGAACCTGCGCCTGGCCTAAAAAATATGAAAAATGAAATATCATGATACTAGATACATAATCGTCTGATATTATTTAAAAATCTTTAAAAGAGTTTAACTAATATTTTTAGATATAATTGACGTAATTAGCTTCACCACTCCAATTTACTGAACCCGTCAGAACATCGCGCTGTTTCTCAATACTTCTGACATTTACAGATGTCATAGGGACGGGGCGTGTATGCCAATATCTAGTGATGCGCCGTTTTCTTAACAATTCATACTTTAACTTTATACTCACGGGAAGCAATTGAATTTGGTGTAAAGCGATAAAAAGCAAAATCTATAGGCTCCTTTGGCTGTCCTGATACTACATGTTTTTTGATAGCTATATGACGTTGACCGTCTTCACCTTGAATCTTTTCGATCTCCGTATTAAAATACATAAAATATAAACCTGTGAAAATAATGAAATTGACTTAGAAGAGATAGCTCCTGAGTAATAAACATTCCTCGAAAGACAAGCTTAAAGACGTTTCTTTAAGGCAGCGATTTGTGGCTTAAATGCCAAGGAACGAAGCTGTGAATTAAAACGTCAATTCAGCCTTTAGTCGTTCAAAAAGAAGAAGAATAAATTACTAAAAAAGTAATAATTGCACTTAGACTTTATTAATCAGCAGTGAATCAACTTCTTTTTATTTTTATCTAAAAATCTAAAGATCAAAGTACGTTTAAAAATTACTGAGGATTAATTAATGCATGTGTTCACCTGATACTTTAAAAATTAAATTTTAATTTTTTTGCTACGTTATCATTTGTATTTATTTTTCTTCTTGTTACTGGTTTTTGAGACTTTAATTTAATAATGCTGACATCTAATAAAGTATTGAAGCAAAATCGCAATTTTTATTAACAAAACTCACCTGTAGTAACCTTGTAAGTACCATTCCTCTTTAATTGTAAATCAACGAGTTCTCCTGCGACTTCATATATTCCTTGGATGATCAGTGAAGGACATTTTACATCAAAAAGTAAAGTCGATAAATCTAAATTCAAACTGGAAGAACATTAAAAATGATATTATTAATATTATCCATCTAGGTAAGCGGCAGTGCAACCGCCGCCGAGGCGAGCATAGCCAAACACTATTTTCGCGAAGCGCTTCGGGACACTTTTGGCCCCCCTGTAACTTCGATGTGGATAAAGATAGAAACTTGAAATTTCGAACGTTACTACTTCTATCATTAGACGTAAATTGTTCATAGAACATTTTTCACTATTTAAACATTTACTTTAATTCTTGCCTACCTCATAACAAATAACATATATAAATGTTCTGATCTTTATCCATGCTATATTTGTAACTATTGTACAAAAATGCGTTATGCTACTTACTTGATACGATCAAATTCACATTTTCCAAACCCTAATATTGAGTTATTGGTAAATTTGTACGTGAATATTGGACTATCTCCTTCAACAACATTGGGTATTATTGGATCCAGGCTTTTAACATTTAATGATGGTATGCCGCCTGATATATACTTAAGAACATGATTAGCAGCTTTAATCATGCAAGCTTCATCACTCTTTCCACACCGACCTATTTCATATTCTGAAACAGATATTTAACAGTGGTAGCGCCCGCTTTAACATTTTAGCACGAATGGGCCGGCACGCCCGGTGTAATATCACGACCACACAGAAGACAGGCGTAAAATGGAAGCAATTTCGTGTTTCGTCTGATGAGTGTGGTGCCGGAAGCCTAATTTAAGTCCCTTTCTCTTTACCACCCTTTTCTTATAAGGAGAGGATGGAAAGGGGATGTGGATTTGACGGTGGAGGAGATGCATAGAAAAGGGAAATATCCTCTTTATGTGCGTTTCCTCCTCCGTCGTATAAGGGTAGGCAACGCATCTGCAATTGGGGATGTCTATGGGCAGCCGTCGCTTCGCCATTATGGCGGATTCACGTGGTCGCTTGCTCGTTTGCCACCTTATGTTATAAAAAAAAACATTAGACAAAGTAGTCTAATTCGTTAGTTATAACTCTAAAAATATCTTAAATAGTTGGAAATTATCTATTTTCTTTTAGCGAAAATGTAAGTACCACAAAACTGAAACACTTACTTGTATTAGGTTCTATCAGCTCGATTAGAAGACACAGCGTTAGTAAGAAAATTTTCCATGAACACGTCATAACAACCACGCATTCAGGATTCCAAAAAGCAAATAAACGCAGGCCGCGGTACAATCTTAGATATATCGAATGTGTATTTTATAAGTAACGAATTCCGGTTAATAAAATATGGTAATAACTGGATAACATTTTGCAAAAGCTGTTAATTCAAGTCTAAATTTTCGAAATAATTTTATTACATGGTACCTTATCTCGTAATCTTTCATATAAATGTCAGAATTTTGAAATGACGGTCATATTTATGTTTAATACAGAATAGTCCTGCTTTTGTCAAGGTTCATGCTTTGCAACAATTACACTTACACCAGAGTTTAATTCGCATTCAGATACACTAGAAATAAATAATCTATTTGATGTATAAATACAGAAATGAAAGCAGTAAAGAATGGATTTATAGCCAGGGTACTTGACGTGTTTGCAACTTTACTCTTAAACGAATTTAAAACTCAAGCCCGGTGAAGCTGTAAATGCCTCTTTAAAAGTGGCGACAAAAACTCAGTCACAAAAAAATGCTTGCAACACCGTTGCGCCTAATTTTTCTATCACTCTTGTAGCCTTTTATACACGTAAATTATTGTATAGATTCTAGATCATTCTATTCAAGGTCTTTGTTAAGGTCAAACCAGTGCAGGTTTCACTCTTAACAAGTAGTAATTATCTCAGCTCTATCATACATTTATGTACTTCAACTTCTTTCTTTGTATACTGTACTAGCTGTTCCCATGCGACTTCATCCGCATAAACTTATGAAAATGTTATTTTATTGTTTACATTTGTCAAATAATCAATTGCAAATGTCAAAATACCTTACTATAATAGCAATTTTGCTTTCTTGATGTTGGCAGCAACTTATGGTCTCATTCCCACATTAGGTTTTTATCCGAAATATTAACCCCTATGTTTAACAGCGTGAAAATATACAGCCTAAAGCATGACGTAAGTGTAGGGCTTTTTATTACAAGTAGAATTATTCAAAAACATGCTGTAATTGTTGACATCTTGGACAACAAAGAAGTGTGTGTTTACGCTTTATTATAATAGTATATAGTTACTATTAACCATGAAAGAGATTTCTACGGTATCCCTTTAACATTTTGGAGAGGGAAGGTCAAAATGGATTTATGTAAGATTGTGTAAATCGCAGAACCGTGGAGCCTCGTTATGTTCAGCACCAGCCCTAATTACACCATTTCCCATGTGAATACATTTGTTGTTACCATTAAAGACTTAATAAGATGAAGTAGTAAGGCATATTCAAGTTTTTTTTTTACAATAAATGAAGATTATAATGTAAAAAAAGTCTCAAAAGTTTTATATAATCCAATTGCTTTGAAGCAAGCAAATCTACCAGTTATGTAGTTTGACTGAGAATTAACTTGACTTATATATTATTTAATGATTTTCATACAAGATGCCGAATTTTAGTGTCAGTGACGTCAATCAATTAAAAATCTTCATAAAACTCATTCAATCAAAACTGTTAAGAGTACCTAGTTTTTTTGGACACACACAATATAGCGGCTTATTATACCAAACCTAAATCATATCATACTAATATTATAAATGCGAAAGTTTAGATGGATGGATGTTTGTTAGAGTTTGTAGCCTAAACGGCTGAACGGATTTCGATGAAATTTGGCACAGATGTGGAGGACCGTCTGGAAGAACACATAGGCTACTTACTTTTGTTTTTTTTTTAATCCCACACGGACGGAGTCGCGGGCGAAAGCTAATAATGAGTAAATTAAAATGTATCATTCTTGTAGTCATTTCATTTTTCTAAATGTTAAATGTAATCACGAGATTTCTTGATTTACATCGCAATTTAATGCAATTTGATATGGTTGTTAACTCTAAAATTAATAATATTTTATTCAACTCTCTGAGTTTTCCACTTTTTTATTACTATCGCTTCAATCTAGGCATTAAAAGGAACACATTGAAATATAATATACGAGCTGTTGCCCGCGACTTCGTCTGCGTGGTATTAGAAAAAATACAAACTATATAAATTACAAAAAGCTACGTATCCCTCGGGAAGCGGACAATTCTCAGGGATGAAGCTTATCCCATGTGTACTCCAGACTTTGTTTTATATCTATGCCAAATTTCAATAAGATATGTTGAACCGTTGCAGAATGATCGAGTAAACATTAAAAAACTAAATTAATGAATCCCACGGTAACCGTAACTGTTCTAGGGATAAAAAGTAGCCTATGTGTTCTTCCAGACTATGCTTTAAACCTGTGCCAAATTTCATGGAGATCCGTTCAGCCGTTTAGGCTACAAACGCTAACAAACATCCATCCATCCATCCATCTAAACTTTCGCATTTATAATATTAGTAAGATAAGATAGTATGCGGTACTATCAATCAAATCCCTAACCAAATTTACTTTACAAAGTATTGCAATCATTGGTTTCCACTGCAGAAATTTTGTGTCATTAAAAGAATCGATAAATTCGTAAGTTAATGATTAACTTATATCCCATTTTTCTGTCTTCCCTTAATATGTAATTGTATTAATGTACAGTCGTGGAAATTCGAGATGTTCCACTTGCAGGAAAAATGGCTTTATTCTTTGCAACTTTTTTCATTCCTTTGTATTTTTATCCTAGTATATTCATCTATTGATCAGTGGGTTTTTTTGCTTTTTTTTTTATTTTTACGGAAACATTTAAAAGATAAACGATCTATTGGTTATTTCGCGTCGTTGTTTTAATGCTTACAAAACATTCAAACTACTGTAGCTTTTAAGTTGGAACATTGCCAGGTTACCTGGTTGTACATATACAGATAATAAAACAAAAAGTACAACGAAAATCTTTATTTAAATAGCTATAAACAACTAATTAATAAACAGATTGTCAATAGGCGTAGTCTTAAGTAGTGCGTTGACGCATTTTGAAAAATATTTGAAATTGCCATCGAGTATGGAACCTTGTAAATGTGCCATTACCTCCTTATAATGTTTATGTGCAAAGGCGTGAGCAGCGTCCGCTGAAAAATAATAATAGTAAATAAATCATACGATATATAAGGCTCCTCTTACACAAAGAAACGTGAATCTTAGAAATAAATATTGTATTCATGCGTCGCAAGAATTCGTACACATAATTCAGTGCAGGAGTAGACTACTTATGAACTGTATATGATACACCACCTTCAAAATAGCAGAGACTTCTCTCACAACGATCACACAGGTTGAGAGCGACTGGCAATGACGGATAGAAATGTTGACAACGCATTCCTATATACAAACCGCTATGATACTGTACTTTGAAGTCGCTTAACGATTATAATCGGATTCTAATGTACAGCCTTGTGTAAAACGGCTTTAGGGTTTAAAATTTTTAGTTTTTGGGGCGTTATGTAGAGGATTTTAAAAGAGTCTTGTCAAAATTCAACTATTTAATTAATCTTTATTGAATGATGATTATAATTTTATTTTAAGATCTTTATTTAACAATAGGTATGGACATAATCATCAGATATAATCAAATCAAAATCCTGTTAACATCATTGTGATTTAGTTAATGGGTTTCTGGTTAAATAATCAAAACTATATTAAAAATAGCTGTTCCCGTGCGACTTTATTTGCATGAAATTATGAAAATTGTTTTATTGATTACATTTGTCAAATTCAATTGCAAATGTCAAAATGACAGACATGACATGATTACAAAGCATGGCAATTTTGCTTCCTTGATGTTGGCAGCAACTTATGGTCCCTCTCCCACATTATGGTTTTTATCAAAAACATTTACCTCTAAGTTTAATGTCATGAAAATATATAGAGTATATATGAAAATATAAGAGTTATTCAAAAATATGCTGTAATTGCTGACATCTTAGGCAACAAAGAAGTGCGTGTTTACGCTTTATTATAATAGTATACTTGAGAATTTAAATTTTCAAGTTATACTTACATAATTCCTTTTGTCCATTGAATAAGTTGTCATATTGAAATTTAACTGGTTCCAAAGAATCAGCAACTTGCTTTGATTTCTTTATAGCTAAATACGTTCTTCCATCATTTCCAGTAACGCGTTCCAGTTCAGCGTCAACATTTATTAAATAGGTACCTAAAATATTTACATCGTCAAAGTATTGATGTGCATGCAGTAATAAGTGGGTTGCAATATTAACTGCTTCACAATTACAAAGCTCTCTCGGTAAAATACCACGATAGAAGACATCATCAACATCATCAGCCTTTGTCTGCCCGCTGCTGGACATAGGCCTTTCCCAATGACTTTCACAGAATGCGGTTCTCCGCTTTTCGGATCCAACAGAAGACATTCTGATGTGAAAACAATTCCGCCTTCCGTGTGACGAGTTTGCGTGTCGGTTACACAATACCAATTGTTTTCTCCTTTTCTCATGAGTAGAATGAATCAAATGAATTTGAAAAGTGAAAAGATACGTTGGAAGAGAAGATAATCTCATGTGTCACCGTTATTTTAGAGAAACCTGGTCCTACCTGAGTTAGTATAATAACTTAAACTATTTTAAGTACCTGTAATGGTCCTGCACGGTCCTTGTCCTTCCAATGGAAGTGATAACAGAGTACCAGTAACAGAATAGTGTCCGATCAGTTCTATTGACGGACATTTCAAATCAAATTTTAAATTTAAAGTATCCATATTTAACCTGAAGAAGATAATTAAGAATTTCACATTTAAAACTAATAATAGAATAGAAATAAAAATAATTTCATTAAAAAAACAAGAGATTAACAATTACAATAACAATTATACCAACTAAAACATAATTACAAATTGTGGTTAATATACGTTTAATCTGGTGATGACCACACTAGGCAATACCTGTATCGTGGGCACCGAAAACAGCAGGAAAAATCTTTCCTTACATTAATTACTAAAAACCTACGTTTACGGCGTTTCGGTATTATTTATGAATTATATATTGCTCCAATATAAATGAAAATATGGAAAATTAATTAAATAAGATGTAACAATAAAACTAAATACTTGAATGAGAATAAATACTATATGTTATATATGTATGAATAATAATAATAATACAAAGTATGTTAAGCATATTATAAAGAGTTGACGGAGGAAGAGACGCTTAGGAAGGTAAAATATTCTCTTTATGTAGTTCTCCGTTGATTAAGGCAATGCATCTACAATTGTGGATCTATAGGCCGCGGTCGCTTCGTCATTTCGGCGGATTTAGGAAGCCGCCTACTCGTTTGCCAATTTATTGATATAAAACTACTTATTTGTTTAAGCAAAAATGCGGTCTAGACTATAATACTTGTTATATAGACTATAACATTCTACCATTCATTGTTTTTTTCTCAATAATATTTGTAAATTCTTATAAGACAAAAAATTAGGGCATGAAAACAACAAAATTCTTACTTGACATTTTGAACTTCACATTTTGAAAATCTATTCTGAGTTAGATTTTTATATGTCAACTGTATGGATGGAAGTTTAATTTGAAAAACATCAGTTTTGATCGGATCTATGGGTGGAATGTTTAAAGACGGAACTCCTTGTCCTATAAGACGGAGCGCTATATTTGCAGATTTCGTCATACAATCTTCATCATTAATTTTGCATGGTACGATAATGGAATCTGAAATAGTTTATGTAAAATTAATTACACTTATATGAGATTTGTGCAGTGCCGAGTGCACCTCCATATCATACTAATATTATAAATGGGTAAGTTTAGATAGATGGATGAATGTATGTTAGAGTTTGTAGTCTAAACTACAGAACGGATTATGATAAAATTTGGTACAGTTGTAGAGCATAGTCTGGAAGAGCACATAGGCTAGTCACTTTTGTTTTTTAATACCACGCGTACGAAAACGTGGGCGATAGCTAATTGTTTATAAAGTACACCGACAAATACAATACAAATGTTGTCTATGTCTTTACGTATACTTTCTAGCCATTTTCGTGCTAGGGTCTTTGTGCCGTGACCGCTGTTTTCTTATAAGATATAAGACATGAAAATGTTTTAGTGATAAAAAGGTACTTTGAACTGTCAATTTCTCGGAACCCCATTTTGCATTAATTTGCAAGTTTAAATAAAAAGAAAACTTAAAAAAGATCCCGTAACAAGAAGTAGATCGTCTTATTTATCAATAATTACTAAATATGATAACTTACTTGGGTTACTCTTTGCTCCAAAAGTAAAACAGAACAACGACAAGAAACATAAAATTAAAGTAGACATTTTGAACGACTACCCACAATTAGAAAATTAGTTTAAATGAATTAGACGTTTCTTAAATCTTAACATATTTATACTGATTTAATATTTTTAATTTTATAAAAGTCTTTTTTTTTAATAACGCATTACATTGTTATTTTTTCCTCGAATGTTCTTAACCAAATAAATATGTTAATATAATGAAGTATTATTCATAGTATAAAAAAATACTAAATAGGTTTCTTATGTAAATATTTGTCCAGTAATTATGAATCTTTACGGAATAAAAGTTTCCGATGATGTAGAAAGTCATTGACTATTATAATTAAATCAAGCCTTATTTTTGCGTTTTTCTTTTGTGTTTACATTTATAAACGACAATATCTTTACTAGACATAGTCAACTGAAAGGTGCTGGCAGTTAAGAAAACTTGACTTTCACGCGGGAGATATCCCTTTTGGACTACGCAAAATATGACGATTACATTCGAAAAAACTTCGGACAAAGTCTACCTATATTCTTTATTTGCTTGATAAATATTTATCAGTTAATTATTAAGAATTATGCAAATTAATATAATATATGGAGGTTACACGGTCATGTTTAAACAATAATATTTTCCGTTAAACATAATCCAAGCTCGGTCTGCGTTTTATCGAAGATTCGTCAGCGTCTACAAAAATATTGAACATAAATAGAATTCGACGAAGTTTTTAGTCAACGATAAACGTATACAAATTTAGGCTTTACGTCCGATCCCCGCACACCGGCGAGATAAAAGGAAAGTTTGTACAAAATGGATCGGCGGAGAGTTTTATCAGATTTTGGTGGAATTTGTTCGTCGGTATACACATTTAGGGGTCTTATCTGGGAAAACTTTATATTTTACGCACGCATTTTAATTAAAATCTTTTGTTTATAGTTGGTATAATGTTAATATAACCTTTAATGTAATTGAAAGTTTACCCAATTTGTAACAAACGTCGGTGAATGTGACAGTTTTTAAAAACTTTTGTAAATTAATTAAAATCCACATTATTCTATTAACAATTCTTATAATATTAATGTTTATGCTAACACAACGTGTTTTACATTTGCATTCACTGTTACATTTTATATAAAGATTGTAAAGGACTGCAATGTTTTTGTGTTTTCTACTAAATTTAAGAAGATCTAAACCCACAGATGACATTTTCCACCAGTGGAAAATTTTAACTTTCGCTTAAAACATCATCGGAATATTTAGACTAGGTCTAGGGGAGCTATAATCAAACAGACCTTCCTAGCAACGCCCATGTTTGTTTATTAATAACGACTATCTGTTGCTCGCGACTTCGTCCGTGTGAAAAAAAAGTAGCCTATATTACTCACAGATAAATTACCCTTCTAAAGGTGAAAGAATTTTTAAAATCAGCTCAGTAGTTTTTGAGTTATTTCAATACATGCGAAAATACATCATCTTCCTGAAACCTGGATCTTTGCTTTTGATACTACAAACAGACACTCCAATTTTATTATATGTAAAGATAAGCACCTCTTATGAGTACTTAGCCTTCACAAGAAAATGTTTATGATAAATTTACTTCCTTCAAAAATATAATCTTTCAATGGAAAATTATGCGTATTTTTTTGTTATACTTGTCAAGGTCCTCTTGATTTTAAATGCGGCTAAGAATAAAACAAATTGCATATATATATATAAAAAAAAAACCACACACTACATTCGTACGTACATTATAATTGAATAACAATTCAAATGAACGTGAATCCAGTGTTCAAAAATTAACGGAACGCTAACACAAAGTGATTAAAATATTATTTTCGTCTATTTAATTAATTTTAATTAAAAATTACAATTTTAATTTCAAAATTCACGTTCATTTCAAATTTCTTTTGGCATTTTAAAGTGGGTTCTTTCTTACCATTTTGACCAACGCCAACGTGTTTTTGTATTCTCAATTACAAATGTGCGTTTATTCAAATATCTTGATCGTACGTCAGTCGAAGAACATTATAATGTATTGGAGGAAATTAACTGTCTGTGAAATAGACCAATCCGCATTAGCGTTCTTGATTTAAGTCTAGGCACCCGATTTAGTCAGTGTCAACGTAAGTTCTGAACACAATGATTTCTTATATTAACCTTTATTTTTTCACCCTACCATCTTTAATAAAAACTACAAAATATAAATGATCAGACTTAATAACAACCATTGGAGCAATTTATCTTTTTTGTAAATTGGTATTTTTAATGTTCATCTTAATTTTTTAAAAACATCGCCATCTAGCGACGACAGTCTAAACTATTAAACTCGAAAGACTTCGACACAGTTACAGTTTTGTAGTTGTGGTTTTAACAGTAAAATGCAATATACTTTTTTCACATTATTAAAAATATGGATTAACACACTAAATATTATTTTACTAGTATTTGCGTAAATTATTTTGTTCATCAAAAAACAATAAAGACATTGATAAAATAATGTCAGTTACAATAAAGTTTAACATAAGAAAGGGCATTTACTTATATAATCTAAAATATAAATAACATGTTGAATTATAAACCATTTGATTAAGAAATATCACATTTATTTTACACTAAGTATTTTATATTTTTAAAATAGAAAACCTCTAAAATAAATTCTGTCAGTACTACATAAATTAGTCTGTCAGTACTATCAACCGCTGTTCGTAAATAGAACAGTTTTATTTCTGAAAGCATTCCAAAATACATTGCGGAATCCCATTAAATTCGATTGCAAAAAAATAATGTTTTTGCTCGTTGCAAGATGATGTGTGGCCTGCGTCTACGCACATCATTGTTTGGTAATCCCAGTCGGTTGCGTGCCGGCAAAAAATGTGGGAACTATGGCGTTACTTTTAGGGATGTACCTTGCACGTAAGATGTCGATAAAAATGCCATCTATACCTCTGTTATAGATAGGAAAGATTTGTATTTTTCTATTTTTGTATATATTGAAATAACTCAAAAACTACTAAGCTGATTTCAAAAATTCCTCCACCATTAAAAAGCTACGTTATCAGTGAGTAACATAGGCTAGACGACGTCGCGAGCAAAAGCTAGTATTAAATAAAGCAATGAAGGAATTAATTTATTGTGCCATAACCGTGGTAATTATAAACATATTGCGAAGAATTAATACATGATTTGAATGTTTCTGTGTACGCCCCTTTGGATTAGGAGGCATTTGAATTAATTCATGAATAAACATTTTTAAGAATTTACTCGTGGATTATTTATCCCTTTAGTAAATACTAATAAATACACTTCTTCGTAATATTTGATGTAACATCCTAATTAAACAAACATTAATTTAAAAACAACAAAGTAAATTGTTTCATTTGATTTATTTTTTTATCTATCTCAGATAGTAGGCTTCAATGTATTTGCAATCGATTTGTGTGTTAAAATATTACATTGTTAACAAATTTTACCAGTGTTATCGATTACAACGATATGCTATAGCACATCACTATTTAGTTTGTCCCAAACTTAACGCATCGATTCAACAGACAGAATAATGACGTGCCCACCTCCGGCCGCCATTCAAGCCCTCGTTGACAAAGGCATGGCAAATAGCCATTATTGCAGTTGCCGCGGGTTTCTATTAATATGATACGGCAGGCAGACGATTATTGATGTAAAGCTTTGCAATGGGACTTCATGTTTGTTACAGTACTCACCCTGTCACTGGTCGTTAATTATGTTTGTGGATACTGTTTGTACAGTTCATGAATTAATTGTACAATACAACTGATCACACACACTATGTAATATATTTATCTTAATAGTAATGTAATTAGTCTAGTCATGGTAAATTCGACTTGACGAACATTATGCTACGTGCCTATATAATAAATGCTTATGTAAAATATTTTATATATTGCCCTTGCTCTTTAATACGAGAAGAGATAGAATAATAAACTTTATACTTGGCAGAAAAATACTTCAGTTACTAATATTTATTTCCACTGGATATGATGTGCAAGTATTAACCCAGGTAATAAAGTAATGCTTGTGCATAAATCATTTGTACTTTTTCTCAATTGTCCAAAGTTCACAACAAGCAATAAATAAAACCCGCCCACTTTACAATTCCATTGTAATATTTGATCCTGCTTTCTTCCATAAGCGACTTTAAAGTTTGCAAAAGTATTATCTCTTAAAAAATTAAATAGAAAAATAAATAACATATGAGCAATATTTGTTAATACTCAGATGATGATTGAAAGAAATGCCTGGAAGAAGTTAAAGTGTTAATCTACCAAAGAAAAGACCAATAGAGTTTTAATATAATTATGTAAGAGTTGACGTATTTCAGTTCACAAAAATATTGTAATAATGAAATTTGTTGAATTCAATAAATATTTTATATTACAAATACGAAACTTTAGATAAATGGATGGATGTTGTTAGAGTTCAACAGTGGTAGTGCCCGCTTTAACATCTTAGCACTGCAGGGCCGGCACGCCCGGTGTTATACCACCCTTTTCTTATAAGGAGAGGATGGGAAGGGGAAGTGGATTTGACGGTGGAGGAGATGCATAGGAAGGGGAAATATCCTCTTTATGTGCGTCTCCTCCTCCGTCGTATAAAGGTAGGCAACGCATCTGCAATTGCGGATGTCTATGGGCAGCGGTCACTTCGCCATTTTGGCGGATTCAGGTGGCCGCTTGCTCGTTTGCCACCTTATGTTATAAAAAAAAAGAAAGTTTGTAGCCTAAACGGCTGAACGGATTTCGATGAACTTTGGTAGAGGTTAGTCTGGAAGAACACGTAGGTTTCTTTTTTTTAAGTAGCGGGCGAAAGCTAGTATTTTATACATCTTTCTAGAAGAGTGTAGTTGAAAAAAGTCGTAGTTGGGTCTCAAAGCTTTTCTTACAGCGATTAATCCTCTCGATAAGGGGCACAAAGACGTACAAATGTGTGCCGAACAGATTCCAGATCGAAAGCCGATAAACTTACTTTTAAAGTAGAAAATGGTTTTTGTTGTGTTACCTATCAGAGATCTCTGGAGGATTGTTTGTTGTAGC